TCTAAGACAAAAGAGCTGTGTCCCCATTGATTTATTCCTGACAGTGTCTGGAGAGAAACAATTAAGTTACCAGTGCTCTGGGTTCAGAAAACCCAGAGTAACACTGGTACTGAAGGGATTCAGTGTTCCTCCAGGATGTTCCTGACTGAAGTTGGTGGCAAACACCAATATACAGAGTCAAGCAGCTGGGACAGACAACAGCTTCTAAGGGAAAAGTGGGTTATCACATTCCAGTGTGCAATATAGACCAGTGAGGGGCTGTGTCACTGCTTGCCCCGCAACCTTGGGTACCTCACTATGCTTCGCTGTTGTAGCTCCCCACCTGGGCTACTCAAATGGTCCACCAGCATGCAAGTCACACCCTGAGTGTCTGTGTATAGCTGTAGTCCTGGTCCAGTAGCTCTGACCCCAGCAGCCTGTCAGCAAGACTTCAGTCACACCCTGGCTTCCACCAGCTTTGGTTACTATTAGCAGCATGACCAACACACTCCCAGTTCCAAATTTTCCCAAAACATGTGTTCTGCACTGTCCAGCCCTCTTCTGGGAAGAGTCCCTAAAGGAAACATGCCAGCAGCAGAAAAGGAAAACAATGCTGCCTCCTCCTCAAACTCTCTGTGAGTTTGAATACTTTTTCATTTTCCTCAGATCAGGATTGAACAGATCTGGAAAACTGCTCTTTTGGTCACGGAGTTAACTAATGGCACAAATGAGTCTTCAGTGCAGATATAGGCCTTGGTGCCAGTGCAGACTGCCCAGGTGAAGTCTGCAGCTCCAGAAAGTACTGGATAGGAAGCCTGGCCACTGTAGGCATTGGTCTTGGGGAGCTAGACTTCAGGCTCGACAATGAGGGAAGACAACAAATCAGGAGCAGCTTGATGCGTCTCAGGTGTCTTTACAGAAGACCTTGGCAAAGACCCAGAACTCAAAACCTCCCACAGGAGTACCAGGATAGTCCAACTGGAAGCGTACCAAAGTCAAATGAACATGCACTCTGAGATGCCCCTCATTCCTCAGTCAAGGAATAAAAGCATGGCAAAATTGTGCACTGAGATACTATGTGCAATTCTCCCAGGGACAGAAGACACCAAACATGTCTTTGTCTCAGAGAAGATAGCTGAGTGGGTTGCATCTCTTTTGAACCCTCTATGGGGTTCAGGACCTGCCATGATTTTGGGGATAACTCGAGGCCAGTTGTCCCAAGTAACCTAACACTAACAACAAACTAACAGCTTGTTTTCTCTGAATAGTTCCTAACTAGCCTCATGAACAGGAAAGGTATTTCCATGAGCTCTCTGTGGCTGCGAAGAAGGAACTGAGGTGTGTGCGTGGGTGCACTCCCATATACAGATGGAGCTGATGACATCATCCTAGCACAAGAGTGCTCCTGCACCTTGCACTCAGCAGACGCTGCTTTTCTACACAGCTGCACAGTATAACACCAGAGGCACCATATCTCATGAGTGAGAATGCACAGAGGCGTTCAAAGAATAAGCCACTTTATGGAGCCAAAGTACTGAAACCACATGAATATTGCTTGTTGTAACATGATGAATCTGAATCTGCTACTGAACACAGATACCAAACATATAGATCTTATTTTTTGACAACTGTGTCTCTGAAGATCCAAATCTTCAAATCTGTCAGCCCTAAGGAGAACTTTTTAGACAAACAGCAATATTGCCTTCCACTGCTGCAAGCTCCATCAAGCATTTTCTAGGCTTTGCAAAGCACCAAACTAGAGATTTTTTTATGTCTCAAGGAGAGGCTCAGTCTTCAATTGCCATGGTGATTACAATTGTATTTCCAAGATAGACATTCATAAATTATCCTTAAGAATGTTTATAACTTGAGCTACATCACTCCCTCATACAGTTTTTTGCAATATGATTCAAACTGGTGACAGGCAAAATATAATTTTTAGTCATTTTTGCTATGCTTTGGCCTGACTACTAACTCAGTTTATACTGAAGATATTCCAAAATAGCTCACTGCTGCATCAAAGGCAACACTAACTGAAGGGGTCTTTTGGGACTTAAATAAGATCTGAAAAGATCTTTCAAAATACATTTCAGCTGTTTAGATAATCTCTTGCGATCCTGAATATCAAGGTTCAAATTTATGATTGATGCAGTTCACAGCATGAATAGTTTCTTGTTTAAAGTTGGCCTTCATGACACTTAAACAGTTCATGTTCACTGCTACACAATCTGAATTCAGAGCAACTAGTTCTGACTTGAGTTATTCAATCTTGTTACCTGCAATTCCCAAAGCAGTTTTCTGTGCAATATGATCAGCTGTAGCAGAATTTGACATGTACCAATTCTTGTTCAGCTACAGAATTGTCACTGGATCAGCCATTAAAATTCTAATGATAGTTTGATGTATTCCAGTCATTTTTCAATTTTTTTTTAAAAGTCAGCTGTAACAAAATATTAGAGAAAGCCCCAAATCAAATCAAACTGTTTCACAGCAGACAATCAAATTGTAGCCAATTTTACCCACTCAGCTTTGGTTGGCAACTGAAACTATCACTTGTGTTCTGGCAAAGACAACAACTGCCTTTGATCTAACTGTGGTCTACAGTTTAGAAGGTTCTATTGCTCTGCTCTATCTTCTCTCTTCCTTACCATTAAGTCCTCTCAACCCCCTGAACCCTTCCAGCTACTCTCCCAATCTGACAGGCAGATTTATGTTACTGCACCTTAGAACTGAGGAAAATGGACACTTTCATGAGGAGGTAGCACTCCTACTTGTCCTGGACTTCTGAACAACAGGACTTTTCCCAGCCTGGGTAGTGTCCACAGCTTATACAACACAGAGCCCATGCCCAAAGTCTCCCTGTTATAGGTTCATGTTTTCTCAAAGACATCCTTCAAGAACTTCATGGTAGCTATAATCAATTTTCCATGCTAAAATTTATCAGAACTGAAATACAAATTTGAGGGATCAGGAGGTAAAGCCTTCAACAGCAGACTCTGGGTATACCTTTTTGCCACCACATTCCTCATGGAACCAGAATGGAGAAAAATCTGATCACACACTCAAAAGTAGCAACTCATAATAAACAGACAAGTATAGAAATATTACAGCCCAATAGGCATCTCTCACTGTTTCAATCCAACACTGAGGGCTGATTCCTGCTCACTGAAATCAGTGCGAGTCTTTCCATCAATTTTAGTGGAAGCTGGATGGGGCTCTTAAAAAATGATATGCAATTTATAGATTCGTCAGTCAATGAAAACAAACTCTTCTTTGCTACATCATATACAGTTTGATTTGAAATGCCCGTTTTAAAAAAAATACCTACCAAACCATAAGGTACAGATATTGTCAAAAAAGCAGCCATGTAAAACTGACACCGCCTTTGTCAACAGATCTTAAGAGGTACCTGGATATTTTAGTGACAAAAATATTTACTACTTTAAACTCCTGTTAACACTGTAGAGTGTATATAACTATGATCAAGTTTGCTGGATTCCATTCTAGCTCCTCTATAAAAAGAGCTATTAAACAAGTTCCAGTAACAGGGAAAGTTTTGCCTTCAATTACACCTGTAACCCCATTGAAAATACTGCACAGGATAACTGAGGCCACAATTTGGACTGCCGAATCTTGTTGGTGGTGACGCACAAGCCAAAAAGAACAAAGCTTGATTTTTAGACAGCAGGCAGAGTCTGCAGGGCTAGCACAAACTTTATTTAAAACCACTTAGAGAAAATCTTATACGGAATTACACTTAAGGCACTGAAATGAAGCCCTACTTATTTTCCAGTCACTTTTTGGTTGCCCTTGAAACTCAAAATAAACTTCTCCTTATTCTACTCTTTAAAAGTGATTCACAAATATCAAGAAAATATACAAAGTGTGGGCGTTATGTGCTAAGTGAACTGAAAAGGGAATGAAGCATTCACTTCAATTATGGGGTGGAGGGTCATGGCAGAAGGAAGTCTCACCTACCTAGATACAGACTGCTAACTCTTTTTGCTTCATGTCAACAGCTCTGAGTACACTATGCTGGAAATATCACATCTACCATGAAAAGCCACTAGGACCAGCTCAGCATGATAGGAGTATATAGGGATATTTTAAAAGATAAATAAAAAAAATAATCAAAAATCAAAGACAAGCCCTTGTTTTGTTTTCAAGAGGAAAAAACTATGAACCCATATATTACAATTAATGCTCAACACCTACACTCACCAGTCTGGCTTTATACTCCTGCTGACAAGTAGAGTACAAACTGAAGGGTTACAGATAGAATCTCTCTCAGAGAATCAGGGGGAAATAAGGGAATCAAATTTCCTGGTAAGTTATAAGCTGTGTGCTTCTCTTGCCTTTGCTAGTTGAAGCATTCAGCACATAATATTGCAACAGTTTTGGAGTTTAGTATCCGAGATCATGTGTCACATAGAAATAGAATTCTATAGCCTATGAGAGTACAAAAAATGTTTAGATCACTGAAGTAGTGAAGACTTAGACAAACGCAGCTATTATCTAACTGAATTACCTAGTTAAGAAGATTTATATTAAGAACACTATCCCAGGCCTTGGCTGTAACTTGGACAAATTCCCTGGGTAGATATTGACAGCCAACCACTACTGTAGCCATGCTGATTAGCAAGCACTTAGCCGAGACAGGCAAAGACAATTTAAACGGCAATTTGCACTAATGCATTTTCTCCAACTGACAAAATACACTGGTGCAAATCATGGCTTACAGCACCTTTGCCTGTCTAAGCTAGGTGGCTGCACCTATGCAGCTACACTAATGACTGGCCACCTATGGAATGCCAGCTGAACCACCAATGAACTTCACACAATTGTAGCCATAGTAAATCTGCAGAATTGATTCACTAGAGTATAAAAATGAGCTATAAGAAAAGCTTTATAAAAAACTGTGCTAAGGAAGCAGTTGTCAAGGGCTTCTATTGCCCATAATACACTTAAGTATATACAAGGCCAAAACGTGGAAGTATCTTTCTGATAAAGTATTTTCTTACCTTTTCCAGGACTAAGGTTTTGGTCTATAAAAACCTTAAGTTCTCCATTGGCTTCAATTAGTCCAGCCTAGTAAAGAAAATAAAAGATTTACAATATCTATAGAAAACTACTTTCTTTACTATTAATTTTGAAAGATCTAATGTAATTTGTTAAGACTTCCCCAACCCAGGTTTCCAAATTAAAACTGCAACTCAATAACAATAGTATCTCCACCCCATAATGGCCAGTAAGGTAAAGCATGTACTAAATAAAGCTTTGTGGAAAACGTCTGTTCTTTAAAATACTTAAATACCATACTAACAACTATACCGGTGACATATTCCACAGGAAAAAAAAATCACTAAGACCATCCCACAAGAAAAAGCAGGGAGACAGAAAAACAGATTTCTGCTTCATTATCCAGAATATACTTATAAAATTGACAGCCAGTAAAATTATAGTAAGTCTTGAGTAAAGAAAAAATGTCATAAGTATACATATATGTGCTTCCTCTTAATGATCAATAAACCTCAACTTCCTGAACTTAACTGCTAAACAGGTTAGTAGCCAGGCCCCATATGGCAACAGTTTGTAGAAAAGGACAAAAACAACTAGGAGTCTGGTGGTACCTTAAAGACTAACAGATTTATTTGGGCATAAGCTTTCATGAGTTAACCCCCCCCCTCCCCACTTCTTCAGATGCATGGAGTGAAAATTACAGATACAGGTACAAATATATATTGGCATATGAAGAGAAGGGAGTTGCCTTACAAGTGGAGAACCAATGCAGAAGGCCAATTCAGTCACGGAGGATGTGGTCCACTCCCAATAATTGATGAGCAGGTGTCAATACCAAGAGACGGAAAATTGCTTTTGTAGTGAGCCAGCCACTCCCAGTTCCTATTCAAGCCCAAATTGATGGTGTTAAGTTTGCAAATGAAGTTCGTAAATTGTAGCGCAGCAGTTTCTCTCTGAAGTCTGTTTTTGAAGTTTTTTTGTTGAAGGATGGCTACTTTTAAATCTGTTATTGGGTGTCCAGGGAGATTTAATTGTTCTCCTACTGGCTTTTGTATGTTACCATTCCTGATGTCTGATGTGTGTCCATTTACCCTCTATGTAGAGGGAAGACTTATCAAGTCCCCCCCCCCAGTCTTCTTTTCTCAAGACTACAGGTTTTTTAAACCTTTCCTCATAAGTCAAATTTTCTAAACCTTTAATCATTTTTGTTGTTCTCCTCTTGACTCTTTCTGATTTGTCCACATCTTTCCTAAACTGTGGTGCCCAAAATTGGATACAGAACCAGCTGGGATCTACTTGTGCTGAGTAGAGAAGGACAATTACCTCCTGTGTCTAACATACAATGCTCCTGTTAATATACCCGAGAATACTACTAAACCTTTTTTGCAGGTGCTTCACACTGACAACTAAGTTTGTGGTCCTCTACAACTTAAAGAACCTTTTCATCACTACTAACCCTAAATAGTTATTCCCTATTTTTGTAGTTGTGAATTTGGCACATGTAACAACCACTTTCCAGCAGCTGCTCTGAAAAAAAGTGGGAGGAACCAAGCTAACTCTCCCACAAGACGTGTGATGGATCTCAGGAGTGGACGGTTTTGAGCACTATCTCAAGAACTGACCTAATATGATGACAGTCTGTGAACAAAATTGTGAAAAAATAGATGGCACTGTCACAGCCAAAGTTCTCAACGTTAGGCTAAGAGAAATGTTGAACACATGCCGAGTCCCTTGAAGCCTATTTCTGTAGCCTTGAACAAAATGTAGGGAAATAGCGGTTTTATTGCTGATGCTGTTGAAAATGGAAGGAACTGAGTGAAATCTTAAAAAGAGAAATATGCCATTGCAGAGTTTAAATTACAAGCATTAAAAAACCATATGGGACAAGAACTATCTCCAGCTCATTTTCTTGCAAATATTCTCAATACTCGGTACCAGAGTAAACCTTAACTGCTGAAAAAGAGGAGCTGGCTATGACATGGACATCTAGCAGTCATCCCTCCATAATGCCAACTATAATAAACTTCAGAGTTAAGGGTGCACCATTCAAGAAATATGTTTGCTGATGATATTTTAAAGAAAGTCACACCAGTGAACTGGTGGAAGTCATTTAAGCACTTCGATTCAGAGACTGTTGAAGTGATAATCTCCCTTCTAACAGCAGTAGTTTCTTCCGCCGGTGTTGAAAGAATATTTTCTTCCTTTGGACTAATTCATTCCAAACTGAGAAATCGTGTGGGACCTGAAAAAGTAGGAAAGCTTGTTTTTCTTTTCCAGATTATGAACCAACAGGAAAATGAAGGTGAAGATGACTGAGTTAGCTGCAGAAGCCAATATTTTAAGTTTGTCATGTTGACCTGGCTGACAGTCGATTTGTTGGGTTTTTTTTTTTAAATATTTCATTTAACTATTTTAGTTAAAAACAATTTTAACAAAAACAAACCTGATTTTAAAAACCTTGAATGTTTAACTAAATTCAAAAATTCACATGCTTGTTTTGTTAAAATATTATATGTTTGCTGTTGAAGAAAAAAATCCAGAATACTTAACGTTGTTGTTTAAATAATACAATTTAAATGTCTGTCTGGTGATGTTCTCCTCTTAATACAGCATGGCAAGCAAATCCTCCAAATATTAATGATAAACCTGTTGAATTGGAGATAGTTCACCTCCAAATGACTTCATAAATATCTGCTTCAATTACCTTTGGTAAATGAAATAACCAAACAATCATTCATTATCTGATATAGCTGTAAAACTAATCTGAAAAGTTTTCTAAATAAATCACTTAAAAATGTCTCGTGTGTACCTTCTAAAAATGAAACCAACATCTATCTCTGAGTTGTGAAGAATATGTATTAAGGTTATAACAACCAACAAGAACACACTTTTATGTAGAAATCCTTGATTAAATTGAGTCTTCCTGACGTGATTTAAATCATGATTGAAATCAAATCTACCCTGGCCAGCAACACTCCAATGGAGCCTCAAATGTAAATTAAAACTACCCTCACCCACCCCCACCCCCGGCGGAATCCCGAGGGACTGAAGCAGTACAAACCAACAGCACATTTTCCGGCATAAGTTCTCTTTTCCAAACATAGATGCTCCAGCTGGTGTAGGAAGGCTGCAATTAAAACTCCCATATACCATAAGGAGTTAGTCAAGCTCAACAGATTGCTGTCAATCAGATCTCCTTTGCACATGTGCAGTTTCCTGATTAGTTTCATTTATTTTATTCAAGATAACTCAAATCAAGCAACTTTTCAGATAGCTTTTTATAGCTGTGCTGAGTGAAGCTTGACTTCTAGAAGATCACAAAAATGAGTTAATTTTTCTGTAAGTAAAAACCTAGGACAGAGATAGGCAAACTTTTTGGTCTGGAGGCCACATCAGGGTTCCGAAACTGTATGGAGGGCTGGGTAGGGAAGGCTGAGCCTCCCCAAACAACCTGGCCCTCATCCCCATCCAACTTCCTGCCCCCTGACTGCCCCAGCCAAACTTCCCCGTTCCTTGTCCGCTGACAGCCCCCTCCCGGGACCCTCACCCCTAACCGCCCCCCCCCCCCCAGGACCTCATCCCCTATCGAAGTCCCCCCCCCCCCCTTGTCTCCTGACTGCTCCGACCCCTATCCACACCCCTACCCTGACAGGCTCCCCAGGACTCCCACACCTATCCAACTGCCCCCTGATTGTCCCCCAAGACCCTCTTCCCCTTATCCAAACCCCCCCACTCCCCACCCCCTTACCATGCCACTGAGAGCGCCAGGACTGGCAGCTGTGCCACCCGGCCAGAGCCAGCCATGCCACCACACAGTCTAGAGCAGGGCTGGACAAACTACAGCCCGTGGGCCAGATCCGGCCTGCAGGATTGCCCCCCGTGGCGCTGCAGGCCCCTTGCCACTCTCAGAAGCGGCCAGCACCCTGGAGCCCCGGGGGGTGGGGGGGGCATGCAGAGTGTGTTGCCCTTGCCTCCAGGCACTGTCCCCTGCAGCTCCCATTGGCTGAGAATGGGGAACTGTGGCCAATGGGAGCTTCGGAGGAGGTACCTGGAGACACAGCAAGGGCAGCGTGCACGGCCATGCAGGGACATGGTGCCGGCTGCTTCCCAGAGCAGTGCGGGACCAGGGCACACATTCCCTGGCCATGGTGCGCGCTGCTGCCACTCTGGAGCCTGAACACCCCCCCCCCCCCAACTCCCTGCTTGCACCTCGCACCCCAACTCCCTGCCTGAGCCCCCACCGCACCCCTCTGCACCCCCAAGCCCCCTGCCACACCCCAACTCCCTGCCCTGAGCCCCCCTGCCACACCCATCCTGCACCCCAACCCCCTGCCCAGAGCTCCCTCCCGCAGTCCGCACCCCTGCCCTGAGCCCCCTCTTGCACTCTGCACCCTTCCTCTGCCCCAATCCCTTGGCCTGAGCCTCTTTCTTCACATTGCACTCACTCCCACACCCCGCACTCCAACCCCCCGCCCCAGCCCTGCATACAGTTTCCCCACCCTCTGCCTCAGAAGTTTGACCACCCCTGGTCTAGAGCACTGGGGCATACCACCCAGCAGGAGCTCACAGCCCCGCCACCCAGAGTGCTGGCAGCATCATGAGCTGAGGCTGCAGGGGAGGGGCGACAGCAGGAGATGGGCCGGGGGCTAGCCTCCCTGGCCGGGAGCTTAAGGGCTGGGCAGGATGGTCCCACAAGCTGCATGTGGCCCGCAGGCCGTAGTTTGCCCACTTCTGACCTAGGACTATGATACCTCCTAGAACTTTGGTCTTTTAGACTATTCTTGAAGCAATACTTAGCTGTACTTATAGTTCAGATCTGCAAAAAGGTAAGCTTATTGCTTTAATTACATCTTGCTCCTTATCCCCTCCTTTTGAGCCACATTTGCATAGGCGCTGACTCTGTGGGTGCTCCAGAGTTAGAGCACCCCTGGGGAAAAAATAGTGGGTGCTCAGCACTCATCAGCAGCCCCGGCGATCAGCTCCTCTCCCTTTGCCCCAGCACCTCCTGCCCTGCCAATGATCAGCTGTTCAGCGGCATGCAGGAGGTGCTGGAGGGGAAGGAGAGGAGTGGGGGCAGGAAGAGGCAGAGCAAGGGCAGGGTGTACTCGGGGGCAGAAAGAGGTGCGGCAAGGGCCTTGGGCATAGCAGGGAATCGAGCACCCCTGAGGAAACCAGAAACTCGGTGCCTCTGCATACTTGTCTTATCTAATTGCTCAGAAAGAGGCTGGGCAAGGGCAAAAAGAATCGGGGCGAGGGCCTAGGGTGAAGCACAGGGCGAGCACCCCTGAGGAAACCAGAAAGTCAGTGCCTCTGCACACCTGTATTATCTAACTGCTCTGAAACTTAGTTTTGTTTCCACTTAAATCACTCTGCTCAGCAACAGCAAAGATTATACTATGTGGGCTATGGACAAGTTAAATCACTGCCTTGTCTCTTTCTTTCACCAAAGAAAAACTTTTAAGAGTCCATAGCTAAAATGCAGTGCAAATCATATTTATCAGAGTTCAACAATTTCTCAGGAGCCTAAAAATATCTTCACAAGATGCACATGGGCCAGTGGCCAATAACAGATCTCTCTGGTGGACAAGTTGCCAATACCAATGGTTTTCTTCTCTTGTAGGGAGCAGCCAAATGAGCATAGAATCTCCTGCATTCACCCAAGACTACATATAGAACTCAATCTCCTGCAAGTGACTTAAGCACTTGGTCTGCTAGTCTAAAGAGCAGGAGTGACAAGAGTTTCATTAACTCATTATACTGGGCTGCTTCTCCCATATTTCACTCCTTTACCACTATTACACTGTAGCTCACGAAAGCTCATGCTCAAATAAATTTGTTAGTCTCTAAAGGTGCCACAAGTACTCCTGTTCTTTTTGCGAATACAGACTAACACGGCTGCTACTCTGAAACCTGTCACTACTACACTGTTATTCCTGGGGGATCAGGTGCCAAAAAAATTAAAAATTATGTCACAATATTTTCAAATTCTGCAAAATTCTGCATATTTTAGGTGTCAAAATAACAACACCAGTTTTAACTATTTGTAGTCATTTATTTCAAAATACCTGTCAGCAAGTATTCAGGTAATGTTTTTTGACAAATAGATTCCTTACTAGACATTGTGACAAAGTTCCTCCTCTACCTTGGTGGGTCTTGCGCTTATTGGCAGATTTGCTCGCCTTGGAGCTTCATGGCAGCCCTCAGCTTAGCTGTTTTTTCTGAACCCACAGTCCAGGTCGACTCCTCCTGTGTCTGACCAGGAGTTGGGAGGTTTGGGGGAACCCGGGCCCGCCCTCTACTCGGGGTTCCAGCCCAGGGCCCTGTGGAATGCAGCTGTTTAGAGTGCCTCCTTGAACAGCTGTGCAACAGCAACTCCTCCCTGGGCTACTTCCCCATGGCCTCCTCCCAACGCCTTCTTTATCTTCACCATAGGACCTTCCTCCCAGTGTCTGATCATGCTTGTACTCCTCAGTCCTCCAACAGTCCACGTTCTCACTCTCCGCTCCTAGCGTCTCTTGCTCCCAGCTCCTTACACGCGCACCACAAACTGAAGTGAGCTCCTTTTTAAACCCAGGTGCCCTGATTAGCCTGCCTTAATTGATTCTAGCAGCTTCTTGATTGGCTGAAGGTGTTTGAATCAGCCTGTCTGTCTTAATTGTCTCCAGAAGGTTCCTGATTGTTCTGGTACCTTCCCTGTTAAGGGACCTACTTAACCTGGGGCTAATATATCTGCCTTCTTTTACTCTCCTGTAGCCATCTGGCCCGACCCTGTCACAACATATTACTCAGAGTTCTGTATTAATAATTAATTTAAACTACAATACAGAACTGCTTTTCCTACACCCCTCAGAAGCAGTGCAAAGGCTTGGGGGAGTCAGGGGTAACGGAGAAGCTCAGGGAGAGAGAAGTAAATTGCTGGGAAGGAGCCTGGGTGTGAACTTGGGAGGGTTGTTAGGTATGTGTGGGAAAAGTATGGAACAAGTTTTTGGGGGAGGCGGGGAGGAATTGTTAGGGAGCTTCCCCCATGCAGACCCTGGCTGACCCCTAACCTCTCCAATTCAGTCAGGCACATCTGCCCCTGTCCCCATGTGTCCCTGCACCCCATCCACGTGTTCCTCCACCTCCACTCAGACATCTACTCCCCCCATTCCCATGTGACCCTGCATCCCTCTCCCCATCCCCATGTGGCTCTATGCCCCCACCCAGCCACTACCCTGTCCCTATGTGTCCCTGTACCCCCTGCCCCTGCCCCCATATGTCTCTGTCCCCCCACTCATCCACCCCCTGTGCCTATGTGGCTCTGCACCCCTTTTCCCTACCACCATGTGGCCCTGATTCTCCCTCCCCCCGTGGCCCTGTACCTCCACGCCCATTCAGCCCCTGCCCCAGATCTGTCCTCCCCCACTAGCCTTTATGAGCCCCTGTCCGGCCCCCTAGCAGCACCATGCTGTCTTCCCATAGCCCATCTCCTGACCTGGCCTGACAGGAGCTGTGAAGAAAGCAGGTTCTTTCTCTTCCCTAGCCAGCTGGGAGCTGCTGCTGTGTTCTATTGCCACAGTGCCCTCTGGTGGGCAAAAGGCAGAACTGCAGCAACATGTCAGCAGATGCTTTTTCTGCTCTAAAAATTAAAAATATGCATAGCTCATTAATTATGCACTCAAGTCATGCTCATCCCAGATACTTCACATGCACAGAACACTGTCTAGTCAACTCTACCAGGCATACTAACGTACAGAGAAAATCATCAAGTGTTTTCTCCTACACGAGAAATCAGGATATTACAGTATATATTACAGTCTGCAATGCCAATGGACAACTTATTAGGGCAGCAGTAGCAACAACCATGTCCATAAAAAGCTCTTGGTACTTGCTGCCCTAGACCTGAACAAAATACAGTACAGACCGTTTACGCGTGAATCCGCTTAAAGCGCGGTAGCGCCACGCCTCCCAGTGTTACCTATTTAACACGCGAGACTCGTTAACATGCAGTACAGGAACTTGCTATGTAGCGCTACAGATTTGCTCACTAACTCACTGACATAGAAATCGACAGGAAGTGCAGAGCAGAAACGTGTTGTATGTCTTTACCGATATTGGTAAAGACGTATCATGCACACTTAGTCATTGTCACGCTAGAGAGATATAATATATATAGTAGTTATATAGTAATTTATATACTACTTTAGAAAATTTTAACTGTAGACCTAATATAATGGCAGAAGGCAAGCGTCAGCGTTCCTACACTGTAGAAGAAAAGCTAGCTGCAATAGATCGAGTAAACAGCAGAGAAACCCAGGCCAAAGTTTCAAAAGATACTGGAATTGTCGAATCTACTCTCCGAGGATGGCTACAAAACTAATCTAAACTGAATGGCTTTGTACAAAATATCAATTCTGTCACGGGGATTAAGCGAAAACATGTGCGCTATTCAGCAAAACCCATGACAGACAAAGCCATGCGCACATGGTTTGCTCAGGAAAGGCTGAAAGGAATGCCATTAAGTGGCCCAATTCTTCAAGCCCAAGCGACAAAATTTGGAAATTTAACGGGGGATGAATCATTCCAAGCCAGCAAGGGCTTATAAATTATTTTTAAAAGCATCATGCCATAGCGCAGGTATCTATTTCTGGAGAAAGCCGATCAGCCAATTAATTGGCCACAAACGTGTTTCCCGCCGAGTTAAAATCTATTTTACAAAATGAAGACTACCATGAAGAACAACTTTATAATTGTGATGAAACAGCTTTATTTGCAAAACTGCTATCTGATAAGACTTCAGCCTTTAATTGCGACACACAGAAAACAGCTGGATTTAAAAAGATAAAAGATCATGTGACTTTTTTTGTAGTAATAAGACAGGCAGCCAAAAGCTTGCCCCTCCCCTCTTCTCGTTGGCCACTTTCATAACCCTCGCTGCTTTAATCACCTCAATAGAGCCAAACTACTAGTAATATACATGAAGAGCAAAAATGCTTGGATGACAAGACATTTTCAACAACTGGTTCCACAACAGCTTTGTTCCAGCTGTTCGTAAGCATCTGTGGTCGAAGAAACTCAAAGCCAAAGCACTTTTGCTACTTGACAATTGTTCAGCCCATCTTCCAGCCGAATCACTGGTATCGAGCGATGGAAAAATGTGAGTGCTATACCTACCATTCAACACAACATCAAAAATTCAACCTTTAGATCAGGGCATTATTTAGAATTTTTAAAACAATTATCGACAGGAGCTGATTTCGGCGATCGTGTCATGCACGTCTTCAGGCACTTCCGAATTCCTGAAACAGTTAAACAGGAAGGAAATTTATTTAGTTAAAAAAACTTGAGACGGAGTAAAACAAAAGTCCATTGAGAACTGCTGGATGAAGGCTCTCAGTAATGCCTTTTCTGTCAAAGACGGCTCAGACCACTGTTCCCTTTAAGCTGTGCACCTGTGCACACACACACAGATTCTAAACCCCGCGCACACATTTGTCTCACATCCTGATCGCACATCGGTCGGGATGCCCGCTTTTCCCAGGCAATGGGAGCCACAGAGCTTGTGCTTGTGGCGGGCAAAGCACATGGAGAGTTGAGAACCCCCCCACCGTGCCCTGACCCTAGGAGCCAGAGACCTCCCAGCAGGGCTGGTGAGTGCAGCCAGGGAAGGGAGCAGGGTATGGTGGAGTGAGTGTCTGGAGGGCACTGGGCAGTGAGGGCAGTTTGTGTGTTTTGGGGTGCTAGACAGTGGGGGAGGTGTGTGTGTGGTGTGTGTGTGTGTGTGTGTCAGGGCACTGGCAAGAGGGAGTCTGTTGTGGAGCATTGTTTAATTGTGGTGGCGGGGCTGTGGGGGAAGGGCACTGGGAGGGAGGGAGGAGAAATCTGTATTGGGAAAACTAGCGAGTGGGGGGGTTCTGTGTGAGGTGCTCGGCAGCTGTGGTGGGGCTGTGGGCAGGGGGGCACTGGGCAGGGGTGGTGGTTTGCACAGCACTGTGCATTTGTGTCAAATGTGGGAGGTTTTGGGGGAGGCTCTGGGCACAGTGGGTTCAGGGGGTGCAGGCCAGGGGAGCTGTGTGTCTCTTTCCCCTCCGCCCCGCTCACCCATTGTGTCCTGATATTTCACTCTTGCGATCTGGTCACCTTATTTATGGGCGACTTTTGACACTGTTCGCCCACCATCTATCAACACAGCCAGATTCTACTAGCTGACAAGTGGGGAGGAAAAGGGAAAGGAGGGCAATGAAACGTACCCCTCCCCGCCAGTATTTTGAACGTGGAACGGTCGGGAGGAGGAGACCCACACATCTCCATGTAGTCTGTTCATTTGGCTATGTACAAACTCAAGCACATGCGAATAAGTCAAAATGCCTGGTGGTAGTTGCTAAGGAACTGCAAAGAGTTCCCAGAAATGAACAAAGGTAAGGGTTTTTTTCGTGACTGAAATTTTTCAAAGGCATTGGATTTCATACATTTACTTGTGATGTTTTACCATTTTCCCGTCGTTTTTTTGCCACAGAGAGATGGACGTGATCGGAGCTACGCACAAACGTCCGGTATCCTGATCTCCCGTTTGCCCTTTTGTCGAGTCACGCTGTTAAGTGCATTGAAATAGTAGCCATATAATAAAAAGTATTAATTTTATATGAACCAATCTGGTAAAAAAATCAATCCCAAAATGTCACTGTCTAGAGGTCTAAAGCGTAAAAGAACAGCGACTTCATTTAAATCTGGATGGCTGGATGAGACTAGAGACAGTTACACCGAAGTCACATAGTGTAATGCCTATTAAACTTCATGAAATATTCACATGAGGACGACAATGGAGTGGTTTGTTTATATTGTCGAGATGCCAGAGCTCCGGGAGAATTTTCAACAGCAAGAATGTAGAATGATGTATGGATGTTGGATTTCTTAAAGCATCATCTGTCAAATAAGTCTCATATAGATGGTGTAACAAGACTTAGAAACAAAAACCCCTCCTTACGGAATGGAATGGTTTCCATGATTCTTGAAGTCCAGCTGAAAAGCAGGAGGCGGCAAATTAATCTTGAACGCAAGCTCTCAAACCCAGAAGAAATCAAGGTACTTATTGACAATGTGTTGTTGGCTATTAAAATGAACAGCTCAGTGCTTTCTGTTCAGGATATTAATGACAATATGGAAAAGAATGTGCACAGACCAGCGAGCTGGAGAAGTAAGAATTATGCTTTTGAATTTCTTGAAATCATCAACTGCATTGTCCAAAATGACCTCATGCGTGAAACAGCATCGGCAATGTTTCATACTCTAGCTGTTGATGAAAGCACTGATATATCCATTCACAGATATTTGATACTCTACTTTAAATATAGATCCATAAATTCTGCAGATTATAAAAAACTTTGTTTGGTGGACTATTAAGATTGCAAGAATGTGATGCTGTTTCAATAGTGTCTGCAATCAAAGAGTTTTATAAAAAACACCAACTTGATCTAATGAAAATGGTGATGTTCACATCTGATGGTGCCTCTGTGATGTGGCGGTTCAGCTGAAACAGGATATTCCACACTTAGTCCAGCAACATTACGTTGCACACCAGGAAGACTTGGGGATTTCCGATGCATGGAAAGAGGTCAATCTGATAAGAGACAATCGAAACCTTAATGAGAACTGTCTACATGGCGTTCTGTCGGTCATCCAAGAGAAAATACAAATTTCAGAAAATAGTGGATGCTTCTGAATGCGAGTCAGTGGCTTTCAGGCCACTCAATGAAGTGCGCTGGTTATCTAGGCACGTTGCACTTCAAGCAATTATTCGCAACTATAATCTTCTTCTGGAATATTTTGCGCAAGATAAAGATACTGATCCAGTTTCTAAATACTGCCACAAAAAGCTGAATACTATGGAATACCGAATAACATTGGAAGTTTTGAATGATGCTTTGTCAGAGCTGGCTTCACTATCCACACTGCTCCAGAAACGGGGCCTTACACCTCTTGAAGCATTTCACCTTGCCCGAGGTAAACTGAACAATATCAGAAGACAGTACCTTGGATATTCAGTCTTATGGAGTGACAAAGTTAAGGCTCTCTTAGATATGAGCTCTCAAGAAAATAATGAAAATCAATACCAATTCTATACCAATTTCTAGAATAACTTTCATAAACATCTTGTGTGCACATTTGGCAGACAGGTTTCCAGAGGATGAAGTCCAGGAGTGGTCCGCTTTTGATCGTGAAGCAATAGTTAAGTGTGACTTCAATTTTGGAATTCATCAGGTCAAATCCCTATGTTCAAAATACAAAGACTTTCTTGCTGAAGAGATTGTTATAGTCAGTCAGTACAGTGACTTCAAGTTTGTAGTAGCCGAAAGACTCAAAAGCCAATTGGTTTTAAGTTTCCTGGATATGGTGACATTTGCTCACCAGAATGAGCAGTTTCAGAATCTTGCGAAGTGGATTGATATTGGAGGAACATCCCTAGCATCAAGTGCAGACTGTGAGCACGGCTTTAGCTTAATGAACACTCTAAAAAACAAATTGCAGAATCGTTTACAAGTAGATCATTTGGACATGCTGATGTGTATTAAGAGTTACCAGCTGGATGGAGGACTGATAGATCTGGACAGAGTTTATATTGAACAGGTAAATGAAAAAGATCGTAGGGAAAAACAGTAAGATTAGTTTAGCAGTCTTTGACATTTTGACCAATAAGGAAATTAAAATGCATTTTTAATTACATATTATTCTTGGCTGATAATCATTTATTGATATTTTTTAGGAAAATTTTAAATTTAAAACAAACTTTTGTTTTTCTTTTTTCTTTCTTTTTTTTTTTTTTTTTTTTTACTTATGATGTCTGTATCTGAAAACCCATATAAATTGACACAAACTTAAAATTAAAATTTTAAATGTATAAGCATTTTACTCGCTTGGACGCATTTGCCTCATGGTGCACAAATTTGAACTCTGCTTCAAAAATTTGCACAGAAGAAATTTTTGCTCACACGGCCTGTCAAAAATTAGAGGGAACACTGGCTCAGACTCAAAACTCCAGCAGTGGCACTGATTCAGAACCAGACTTTGAAGGATTTTTGGAAGAAGACGTCCTACACACATGCACGCAGACAAAAGAGGATAAAGGTAAACTTCTCTTTCAAATGATAAAAGATTTTAGTTTGGATACGTTGCCAGAAATCATTACCGAGTGGCTGAAGATGGATGAAGATTGCCCGACTTCAGAATTTCTGTCCGAGGAAGAAATACTAACGGGCTGCAAGGCTACGTCAGACCGCGAAAGTGATGGCAAGAATTCTAACAACGCAGGCCTAAATGGCAGTGACGACGAGAATGTTGTTGAAAATGTCAAAATTTCACCCACTTAGTGCTGTAGAAACTGTTGCAAGATCTATGGAGGAGTAAAATGTGGAAAGTATCAAAATCATTCATCTGCGGAAAATGACAGAGTTCAAAAGAAAAAAAAATGCGAGTCAGAAAGAGCAGAAAATAACAGCCTTTTTTTCTAAGTGAATCAGACACTTCTTTCAGCATGGCCCTCTTAAGCCACGGTCCATTAACATGCGGTCATGGCGGCTTGACTCCCGACACCCGCACGTAAATGGGTCTGTACTGTAGATATTTGTTATTTCAGCAAAATTATTAGAACAGTTTATATAACTGTGCCTGTACTATACAATATTTTCGCATTAAGTGTTGAACACTATTCATTTAAAAGCCATTACCTCACCTACATCCTTAGCAATGTAATCTTTAAATGCCTATAGGTTTATAAAATAATATTCTGAAATAATTATGTGCCGATCAACATGATATCTGGGCACATGACTTCACCCAAACATAATAAATAGGGTGACCATTGTGACATTGCACTCTATGATTTTATAAAAATATACTAATGAGTGTGAATATAATGCAACTGGAATATGCTTCAAGGAAAAGGTCTCTTGTAAGGTATCATTACAAAGCTTATAATCTACTCAGTGTGGTCATCCTATTTGTATAAATGTATCACTCTTGTATCTGAAACTAGAAATCTGAAATATAACACTGAGGTCTTATGGTAGTTATGCATAATATGGGCCATTAATGGTGGTTTGGAATCTTAATGGCTCCCATTAACCAGGACAATTGACTGTAAATGGCTCTGTTTTACCTGTAAGTCTTCCTGTATAGCTGTGGACTGGCAAGTGGGTAATGAAGTCTTACAGTGACATGTGATCATGTCACCTGAACTGGAATCCATCTTTAACCTGGTGCTTTTCCATTGAGAAGGAGGGGTGGGAACCCAGAGGGACAAAGG